GTTTAGTCTTTAATTTGATATTTTCAAGCTTTTCTAGAGCTTCTTCAAGTTCCCCATGAACATGTCTGTATAGGTCCATTACCTGGAAATGAAAAATATTTTTGCTAATATATGCACTTAATGATTAATTAAACGGAAGAACTTTAACTAAAAGAGTTTTGATTTAGATAAAAAGTTATTTACACATGTTTCCCCCATATATACTCTATTTTTTAGTATGTGGAGTTTCACGTTTCCTTTATCCAGATAGACATCAATGCTGGGGATGTATAAAAGTTATTGAAGAAAATAACTTCAATGTCCAAGTCAACATGTCCAAAATGAAATCATTATCATTTCACCAATAAAAAACTATTACTCTTCATTATATTTATTGTTCAAATAATGCTTCATTGTAGGAAAAACTCAGAATACAAAGAATATAAATAAAGATCACCTGTACTCCCTTCAACTAGGACAGGAATAACCATTACTATCTTCGCGCGATGGTCCAAAATATTCAATTTTCACTGTTTTTATGACCTAACAATCATACTCATTCTCCTCTCTCTCTCCATCTCTCCCTTCTCTATCTCTCTTCTGTCTCCTTACCTGTCTATAATCTGTTTCACTCTAAATCCACCAATTTAAATGTTAATCTCATCCAAAAAACACCTTCGCTGAAACGTCTAGACTAACGTTTGACCAAATATCTGGGCACCCTGGCCCCACCAGGTTGACACATAAAATTAACCATGATAGTGGCCCCGATAGGATCTACACAAAAGATGCTATTTCCTCCATCTGCCGGAATGAATTCTTTTGCTTTCCTTCCATTCCCAAGCCTGGTCTTCCAGCTGCCCAACAATTCTGCCTTCCCCCACCAACAACATACCCAAGTCCACCATCAGAAAAAAACACATTAAAACAACACAGGGTTCAACACGTATGGACAAATTTTTAAAGTATGAGAACTAAAATGTTGACAAAATTGTGAGGTGTGCCAGTTAGAATTGGGTTTGGCTGTAAATAACAGAAATAAGCCACATAAGTTGCTTAAACAAGATTGCAGTTTACTTTTCTCTCACAGAAATGGATCCAAATCTCCTTTTGCCTTTCTATTCAGCCAGCCTGAATACTGGCTTCCATTGCCAAGGTTGCTTCATGCGGTAAAGTGGAAATTAGAACCGCAGCTATCATACCTAGGTTTCCGGAAGTTTAGAAAATAGCTAATTGGAGAAGGGTGCTACTTCTGGCTGAGTCAGTCCATTTCAAAGGGCATTCCTATGAGATACCATGAGAAAAGGGAAATTGGGAAATAACTTTTAGCCTGACACATTGCCATCGAATTGTATAGAGGGGTATTCATCATAGAATTATAATCCCTTTTATGTTCATATTTGTATAAGGGTGTATTACTAAGAAAAAAGGGTAATATTAGCATTCTTGTCCACAGTGGAGAAAGGAGAAGTCTCCAGCACTGCTACTCCTCCAGTAATATAAATAGTTAGAGGCGCTTTAGAAAGTAACATGGTATTATCTAATAAAATTGAAAATGTGTATAACCTATGACACAGTAAATAATCCAATAGGTATATATCTAAGAAAAATTCACAAGCACATACAGAGGAACAGTTTCATGGGTGATTATTGTTTAAAGTTAAGTCAACAGTTTTGTCGCCAAATATTGGAAACAACTCAGATGACGAACAGAAGAGAAAATGAAAAATAATAAATTCTGAGATATCTATTTGATGGAGCATGGCAAGTAAAATGAATGAACTAGATCTCCATATATCAACAGTAGCTTGACTAAATTAAGACAACATCAGATTAAAAAACAAGTTATACAAAGTTATACATTTTATGGTATTATTTGTGTAATTTTAAAAAGTACCATGCATTGTTCAACACAAACATAGATAAAATTTTTACAAATTTTGCTTAGAAACATGAAATTTATGATAAAGGCTGTCTTTGGTGAAGCAGGGAGAAAAATGGAACTGCTGAGGGAAACAGGAGACATTTAACAACTTCTTACTTTCTTTAAAATGATCAAAAACAAATGAGATACAAATTTAAAGTTGTTAATTTTGTGACAGGTATAAATAAATTATTTTTATGTGGTATGATCTCACAACAGGAGAACTAAATGTTAATCAATATTTAAAAAGACTTTACCTCATTTATATATTATCATCAATAAAGAAATTGACTGATATACCCTACCTGCATTCTCCTTCAGTTAAATGACAGTTTTAAAAACACCAGGCTGTTTTAAATCTCCAAAATTGTATTAGTAGGTTGACTAAACATTATTTATACTCCTAAATGTAAAGGTAAGGGAAGAAGACATTGTTAAAATGAATACCAATAGTTTGTGGAGTGTATAGTTTAATAAATCCTCTGGGAGATAAATAGCAGGTCAATTTCAGTGAAAATAAAACATTTAAAAGTATGTTAATTTCCTATGGTTGAGACATTTTACATAACTAGGTAACTTGTTAATGCGCATCCATTCACTTATTTATTTACCTCAATTTTTTTTTGATACAGTTCCTTCAGAACTTCAAGTTCCTGGTTCCTCTTTGAGTCCAGCAGAGGGCCATGTTTCTGCATGTAGTCTATGTCTGCTTGAATCTTTGCATTAGCTTCTTCTAACTTTCTCTTTTGGCTTTCAATTTGTTCTACTTGACTAACTTTATCTTCAAGATGCCATCGTAATTCTACAATATCTCTCAGATAGGCCTCGTGTTCTAGACACAGAATGATAAGGACAAAAGAAAATCTGATTTAAAAACAAAAGGTCCAAAAGGAAATCTCTGATAATAAATAAATATGAACTATTTTAGTTACAGAAAACACTTGTTTGTGAATCTTTCTAAATCTAAAATAAGAGCTATTATAAAATGTATTGCTTTTCTTCATCATCGAAAGCATTAAAATATGTTTTATAAGTTAATTATTTTAGTACAGATCCCAGTTACTGTGATCAATGTATATACTGATTAACATATAAAATCACTCTATGTAACTGCTTCAAAATGAGAAAAACTGCAAGAGTAGAAGTTAAATGATGAAGTAGGAGTTACAAATATCAGAATGGAAAAGCAAAAATAATTATTTTCTGATAATGGAATTATAACAAAACGCAAAAAATCAACTGAAAATTATTACAAATAAGATAGTTCATATAAAATTAATATAAAAGGCAAATGTTTATCTATATAAAGAATATGTTGAAAACAAAATAATCTCATGACAGCAAAACTAAAACCTAAAATAAACTGCACAAATTCAGTAATAAAACTAACATGAACTGGGAGGCCTGTAGTAAGAAAACAACAAAATGCTATGAAATAACTCAAAAGTGCATTTGAATAAATGGATAAAAACAATTTGTTCTGTATAAAAATATTCAAAATTTTAAACATGGAAATTTCCTGCAATTAATTTATAAATTTAATTAAATCCCAATCAACAGACCAGGACAATTTTAGAGAAATTAGATAAAAAGATTTCCTCATTATATAAAGTTTGTAACATTAAGCAAATCTTGCAT